GGGGGAAAGGAGAATGAATGGGGGAGGGGCAGAGACAGGGAAAGAATCCCAAGCAGGCTCCTCTGCCAGCACTCAGCCCAACGTGGGACTGGATCTTATGAACCAAGAGATCATGACCTGACCCGAGATCAAGAGTTAGACACTTGATGGACTGGGCCCCCCACCCAGGTGCCCCTCACTCTTTTTTAAAATTTCTATCTTCTCTCCGCTTCCTCTTCTTTTGCATGTTGAGCTCATTTCTCTACAAATGCAAACATGTCTACACATTCTGTTTATCTTTAATCCTTGACACCTAGCAAAGTTTCTGACATATAGTAAGCAAGTATAAAGTATTTGAATTAAAAAAATAAATGAATGAGCATATGAAAAAATGATGAACTGAGTGAATAATCAAGTCTGGCAACAGTATCAAATTTGTGATGGGAAGTGATCAAACAGAAGTTGGAAACATAGGCTAAGACCAGATTGTGGGGGCCTTGAAGGTCATGTTAAGGAGTTAATTTTTTTCTTCTGTAAGCAAGATTAGCTAGTATGGGAGGATAGAAATACGAGTTCTGTGTGAAGAAGAATTATAATATCAATGGGAAGGGTGTATTGAGAAGGTGAATAATATAAAGATAAAAAGGTGAGTAACAAATTTCTTTGTGTAGTTTCCCCTTATGAATGAAGAATAAAAGATTTGCATGGTCTGAGTGTAGCAGTGCCCTGGTTCACACACATTTTCCAGAAGATGTGATAGCTGAATACACTCCCATCAGTATGAAACCATTTCAAACAGTGTTTGCAAAACCAATCCAAACCACTGATTTGAACTACTTTCAGAAGCAGAATATAGCAAAAAATCTACAAAATTGAATGCCATATTATATGCTTAAGTATCTGTTCTTATTTCACCTGTATATCTAATTTACAATAATAATAACTGACATTTATTGTGTATTATGTTCTAGAAACTGTTCTGAATGCTTTATGAGGATTTTCTCAGTGTATTCTTAAACTGAGGCCCTTGTAAAGTAAGCTTTCTCTATCTTGTAGATGAGGGGCTTAGATTAATGATTTTTCCCCAACGTCATGTAACTAGTAAGAGACAAAGCTGGAATTCAGATCCAGGAAGGCTGTCTCCAAAGCCAAATACATTTATAAATGAATACATTAATGTTTGTCACATTTCTACAGACTGTGCTCATGTGGATAAAGCGTCTGCCCTTCACAGTCTTGTAACCTCACAGGGTAGGTAGGCCAATTTAAAGTCACATTCAAGTCTTAAAGTACTGTATCCGTGTCTCCTTGTTTTTGTTTTAGAAGTTCTGTGCAAGTGGAACTCTACACTGCGTTTCATATAAACAGAGAAGGTACAAAGGATGAAGCCTAAGAAATGAGAGAAATTTCCATGAGAGGAGATGGCATTGTAGGCAAATCAGGGTAGATGTTGTCACTATGAGTATAAAAGCCTCTAGGACCTGTGCTAGGACAAATGCGCAGAATG